CCGTTCACCTACTGCCAAAATTGGCCGCGTTTCCTTCTACTATTCCTTGGTTGTCGAAATTGATTGGAATTTTCTTATATTATTTTCAAGACGTCGATATTGGCTACGTTTTCTTTTATTCTCTTGACCGCGCAAGAATATTGTAGAAAATAAAGAAAATGAAAGTCCTAAGGGCAATAGCACGCAAAATAATATAGCATAGCATCAGACTAACGACTATCCAGCATAAAGTGCCATATTGACTTACATAACATGCGTTAATTCTGGTCTTATATTAGCTATGCTACAGTGTACTATTCTAACTTTAAGAGTTTCTTTAACATTTTCTCTAAAAGGAAGAAAAGGTCAAGATTCCGAAATCGAAAATAATAAATGTATTGTTTCTTCTTATTTCTCGACAATATATTTCATGCATTTTAAATGTTATTGTGGAATTACAGTAAACATAAAATTACACAATACGCATAAAACAGCACTATAAAGAAATTAATTAATTTTATTTAATTGCCTTGTCAAATTTATTAATCTAATTTAGATTACATCTTTATTGTACAATAAGTTAAACAACATTTTTCATATCGATGACGAGATACATATGGAAATAAATTAATAACTTTTACTAAGAAATATTGTAGGTGTTTTAAAGTTTTTTTGGCGAAATATAATTTTGTAATAATGTGTAATATAACAAATAATTAATACAATAGAAATTTGGAACAAATGTAAGTATAGCTTACAAGATGTACGTAAAACTGATGAACGAAACAAAACATCAAATAATTCTTACATGGAACTTTTTGGTAGATCATATTGCGATAGTCGAACTTCTATCGGGAAAAAGATGAAGAAATCCAAACGATCCGGGTTATAAAAAGACCCTGCTCTAACATACTTTCAACTTTGTGCTGGGTATAATAAAAAAAAAAGAAAATAAACCACAAAACGCCTCTTCCTGCTTCATTGAGCCAAGCCTTGAAGCAACGGTTCTTCACAAACTTTCTGTCTTTACTGTGGCAGGCCAGTTGGCACTCGACCGACTCTTCGGCGAGAAAAGGCCACGAAGTTATATGCTGAAGCGCGAAGTAAAAGGGCCCCAACTGGGGCAGCAAGCGCCACGTGTCGCGGTTGCACACCTGGGACACCAATGTATTTTTCGTATAATACGATATTGCAGGAAATGCGCTATTATCAATGCACCGTCCCTGGGACGTATTGATGTGAGCTGACCTTACGTAACTTGTGCGCGGTTTGGGGCCACTTGACTCTCGTGTCATTAACCTTACCCGGCGTAATGTACTCGGCGATGATATTTCGTTAGAAACCCAGAACGCGCGAGTTTCTCTTATGTAAGCGCGCGCCAACTGTTCGTCCCTCGTTCTGCGATGCCACATGAATCTTACATACCGTACAATACGCGGAATTATTGACAGAGAGAAGCAGTAAATGATTACTCTAACAGAATTCCAAATTTTTCTTACTCTTCAAATTATAATATTTTTTTCAAAAATTCCAAGAATTATTGAAATTTTTAGCGTGAAAATATCAAATTGATGATTCTAGTTGACAATTGCGCTCAAACTATAATAAACCATTAGTTTTTACGACTTTCTTTTTAATCTGCATAGTTAAAGTAAAGTAATTAGCGAGATTGGAGCTATTCGTGAATGACTGTACGAATTGAAAAGTGTCTTGCCAAATGCGAGGCTGAACGGATCAGTGGAAGAGAAAGCTAGGTCCAGCTCAATACTCTTTCGTAGGCTCCAAGCAGAAGTCCTCCAGAAGAATTGAGTAGTAGGCAGGAAGGGATGAGCGCGCGATCAGAGTCGAAGGCCGATGATGCATGCAGCTGAAGAACCACAAGTTTTTTTTACTCATCCTTAAGAATCCGGTTTCCAAGACTGCAGTTTCCAATAAAGTTTTTCGCGGTAACGATCGATAAAGAATTCGATTTCTTGGAGTATTCGGCTGATGAACATTCGATTCGTCATTACAAATGATAATGTATGTTTCCTTGACATATTTAGCCAAAAATCTTCTTAGCGATATTTCTATGCATTTTAAATACTGTTATTTTGTTGCCAAGTAATGAAATAGTCTGAAAATACTCAAAGGATTATTATCTTATGCTGTAATTTTTGAAAATTTGCTTATAAAATCTTTTCAAAATTTTCGAAATGAATGTCAATTCTGATTTTGAATTTTTTTTAACGAATTCTTATTAATAAGAATAATAATATTTTTAGTTATTGTTGTGATAGGGATGAATAAATCGGACAGTCATCTCAATTATACATTTTTATTACAAAAGGAAGAAGAAAGAACATCAAACGTTCTTCGCTGTCGATAGGTGAACACAATACGGCATTCTGCAATTCACTCATGCTAACGTAAGATTAATTACGGTCTATCGGATACTTAAGCGAGGGAGCTTTGCGCGCGGGTCCATCAGTCGTCGAGTACGCTTAAATTTAAGAATAAGAGTACACATTTTGGACTCGAGCTTCTAATCTTAAGAGCGAGATCGGAACCGTTATACGCGGCTCCTCGCCGATTTTAGGATGCACAGCCTGAGATATCTTTGGGAAATCGGATTGGACGACGTCACAATGATTCATCGACCGTACATCCCAGGTCTCTTAGATTCACAGCCTCAGTCCGCGCTCGCACCCGAGCCGTGTGGCAATAAATCTGATCGGTCTAATATTCATTCTAGCATTTCCAAACGTTCATCGCACTGCGCAGCGCTGCGTGATCGTCGAATGGCAGATGTCGCAACAAAAATCTCAAAACGAATCTTACAACGACGACTTTCACGAAAATTGCTCACGGATTTAGGCTTGACCGGATGATTCGTGGATCAACTGACTTCGGAGCGGCTTATATTACATTGCTAGAAAAGTCGTTAAAAAAGTCAACACGATATTAGCATGAACGGTCTCGGATGCAAGGGCAATCTCGCATTTTTTAATGAAGCGGCACGTGATTCGCCTACCAACTTTATATTTAACATTAAAATCATTCAGCGTATACGCGATCATCAAACGTATACGCGACAATCAAAATTATTCTTATTTATTTATAAAAATATACTGTCTTTTTTCTCTTTCTTTTTCTATCGCTTACTGTTTGTCTCTCTATTTTAATCATGAATTACTATGATTATTTTGAACGGAAGAGGAGCCTCGGATAATAAGCTGCTATCCTCGTTCGTTCGTGGAGATCTATGGCGAATCGACGGCGCCCGGAAGAGCGATCGATATCGTTAATGTCGTTAAGCTCTCAACGAGACGAACGTGAGACTCTCCGGTGAGAGTGTCACGATTTAGTATAGTACAGCAAGGTTGGCGTTATTTATTAGGCACGAAATCAGTTGCATTTGAAATCGTTAATATCGTGAACGTAATGCTCAATATGCATACGAGAGATCCCATTGAGAGCCGATTTAGTACATAAATAAGTAAAATTGACGGTAAAACAGACGCGATTCTTTTACATTAATAAAATTATTTAGTAACTTTTACAAGCTAATAAATTTTTTTTTTTTTTTTTTTAAGAATCATCTCTAATTTCTAAGAAAAAGCTTTTTTTGTAAATTTAAAATTTCTATTGCTGCTTATTTTTAAATTTATAAAAAGATCTACAAATTTTGACATTATCCTAATATTAGGAATGTCAAAATTTTTCACAGTTTTATTTTACATAAAAATTTGGACAAAGCAGCTATTTATTCTCTGATAATTAATGTACAATTAAATATAATCTTATAATTAAGTAAATCTTACGGCTCACCAGCTTCGCGTGCGTAATGGATGGATTCCATAGCATCAGCACGCGACTTGCAGATTCTCTCTTTGTTTGCCTCTTCTGCGGCAATAGGAACAAGTACCGTGCTTTAAAGTTCGTCGAGGGTCTAATGGCTCCCAATGTTGCGCAAAGGTCCAGATACCTCGTTGTTATCGCAATCTGCCAACAGCAGATCTCTCTGCAACAAGCAAACTTCAAAGGGTGACGCTGTTAGTGTTGCGCCAATGTTGCCTTCCAGGCTGGGCAATGGAACACCTTCAGGTAGACACAAGTTGAACGTGTGCATTAATGACGCGAAGAACAGGAAGATTTCCATGCGCGCCAACACTTCACCCAGGCACTTTCGTCTACCGACGCCAAAAGGCATAAAGAATCGTGGTTGTGACACTTTCCCGTCGGCAGACAGAAAACGGCTGGGCCGGAAGGCTTCCGGATTATCCCAGAGTTCAGGATCCATATGCACCGCATATAACAACGGCACCACGCTAGTACCGGCTGGTATTAAATGGTCGTTTAACATCACATCCCTGCAATAATAATGACACTGTTGGAAAATTTGTGTATTTTTGTAAAAAAAATCTACGGGTTAAAGTTTTTGTGTAAAATAATGAACACATTTACATGCAAATTTAAAATGTCTCTTATATTAAATGAGCTTAGTGAATATAAAATGTAAATTATTGAAATGATTTAAAAATATATTAAGGCAACACAATTTGCACATATCTATTAAATGTTAAAATAAGAGTTACAAAATAAGAGTATTGCTGATTTTTTATAACAAGAGTGAGAATGACTGCACGTCTCCGCATGATAACGTGTTATCCATACTAGACGCGGAAAACGTTTACCGCGCGGCAAAATGCGATGATATGTTATACGTGCAAAGGAAAGCAGCCTTAATATGTATAAGTTACATTAATATTTTATAACTGTGATAATATTTTTAAAGAAGATTCCAACTAATGAAAATTAATTGATTAAACATAATTGATAATAATTAGCTCACTTTCAAAAAATAAATAATAAAGAGCATACAGCCACAGCAATAGATGTTAAACAAGTCATGTATTCAAAATTCAAATAAATAAGTAGATGTTTCGGTCAAGATTTGATCATCATCAGTACATAAAAAGATGACAAAAATGAAAGTCTTACAAACTAAAACGCAAGTCGGATGTTAAAATAAAAATTACATAGAGAATTAATAAGCAAAAGGTACATGCAATTACAGCCAAAATAATCGTACTTTAAAAGTTAAAATAATTTCTTCTCGCTTATAGTATGAATTCACTGTCGATTATGGTAATGATAGAGGTATAAATTTTTTGGATGTCAAACTTTTAATCGAGGATGGAAGAATTATTTTTGACATTTACAAAAAGCCTACAAATTCCGGAAGATATCTTAACTTTTTTTCTAATCATCTTATAGAACATAAAAAGGATATTGTAATTGGA